AAACCGATGCCGGTAGCGACAAAAACTGCCGGGAACTCTGCAAAAAACGCATCTTCGCACGGGCAGTCCGTGCGTTGGCCAATTTTTTGCAGTTATGCAATGCAAAAACGCATATTGTCGAGGGGTTGTCTGTGTGTGTGTGTGTGTGTGTGTGTGCGTGTGTGTGTGTGTGTATGTAACGAGTTTTCATCTCGAGATTCGCAAAAGCTACAAGGCTGAAAATTCGGTGACTTAATCTACACATGCGTGCGAGCTCGTATCCTCAAAATGGACGCTCAGGTCCGCTGGTTCTCACGTAGGGGCACTTGAAAGTTTTTTTTGGCGGGAAAGCGTTTTCGAAAACGGTCCATGCAGGGAAGCTGGAACTTCACAGAGATGTTCTTTGGCCGCGTCTAATCCAAAGATTTTAAATTCAGCCTTCACGTACTCCCAGGTCTCACGTACGCACACGCCAAAGTTTAAGCTGGCATCATGCCAGGTCCAGATTTAAGGTTATCAATAAGCTGTAGAAAGCAGCAATTCTGCAGCATTACCCGTCGCCCACTATTGTGTCCGCGAAAGTAAATTACTTGTCAGCTCCTCTGCATTTCACGTAGGAATAAGTGAAAATTTCACGCATACGCTTTTGTAACTTTAGAATTGAGCCACCGGAGGCCCTGAACTTTCTGAACATAACCGATGGTGGCCATTGACCAGATGCACGCAAAAACGACTTACACATCACTTTCACGTCTCACGTACGCTTCACCTGTACACACGTGAAATTTGACGTGAGTTTGCAACCAGAGCAGCTGGAGTGCTAAAACTTTCTGAGCGCTATCCAGGACTGTGAATAACTGCGGACGAAGAAAGCATTCACGTTGCCACTCGTACGAACACGTGAAATTTGGCGTAACACCGCAACCGAAGCATCGTTGAATATTTAGGGCATGGATTTGGAGTCATTGTAATAATTTCTAACAATCGTGGTGGCCAATTCCAATTCATTTAGCTAGAAGCATCTGCCGGGAAGAACGTGCCACCGGCGAAAAAAATCTGCGGGGGAACTGTGCAAAAAACGCATCCTCGTACCAGCAGCCGGTGCGCTTTCGACTAAGTTTGCACTGCATAGAGGCAAAAATGTATAAAAAAGGTAATAAATAGCTGTGAAATGTTTGGTTTGTAAAATGTCAAGAAAAAGCAATTAACTGCAATGTGACATTTTGAGGAATCAGGCACCTTGGCCATTTTTTGCTATTTCAGTGGTAATTTTCTTCGAATAATCAATGCTTTCACGTGCTGCAATTACTTCCGGATCATCACTGTATGGGGCCGGTTCCAACATCGCTTCCACTGAACCGCTTTCCTGAAAACGTAATTCACTCGAAACGCATGCTGAAATCATAATTTTTATCACTTTCCTAAAATCCTGGTTTTTTCATTATGAAAACTGAAGTCCTTTCAAGCAAAAAAGAAAGAAAAATGAATATAAACGCGACAGCACAAAGACCCTAAAAACCGCTCATCAGATGATTATTTGTATTTGCAACACACTGGCACAGATAATGGGAAATAAAACG